GTGATGTAAATGTACACAGTGCAGAATACTGTAGATACCTTGGGTTTTAATTTCGCTATTTTTTTTAATAAATATAATCTGCTAATTTTAAATCTATGTGAACAAAGTAAAATAACAGAGAGCTCATTGTTTCACAGCCAAAATTTGTGAACTTAAAACCAGTTAATATGCTCAAAATATCAAAATAGTGAAATATAAAGTATTTTACAGTATATTGCTTGATTACAAAAAACAGCATCCGGCTTACTTTTGTTTTAATTTTCAAAACTTGTAAATATTTATTTGTACTTTTAGGTTGGTGAGGAGATTATAATAATTTTTCATTTCACTTTAACACTGTATTTTTCACCCCTCAGACCCGTTTAAAAAGTCAAAAGTTTAAATAAGAATAGTATGTACAAACAATTGAAATAATTTGTTAGCCCAACTAGAAGATATTAAAACTATTGAGAAATTTTCACTTTACTGAACTAGAGATTCTATTAATGATATGGATATACCATCACAAACAGTGATTTGTGTAATCATTAAAATCACCTCTCCTGCAAAAAAAACAAGACTGACTTGCCTTCTCCTTTGCTTTGTATCTAAAAATAAAAGTAAATGATATAAATATAAATGCTAGTTTGCTGTACTTGTTAAAAGTCAAAAGGTTATTAATATTTTTTCATTCTGAACAATAAAATTCTAAACTTAATATTTGTAGTTTTAAAAGAAATGTTGTAATAACAATTTCCACATCTTCTTCATGTTTTTACAGTATTGTTACAAGTTAATGCCATTAGGATACTGAAAATAAAAACAAATTTGAATCACATGACAATTTTTCAAGAATCTAAAATGTCATGAAAAATTGTTTTCATTTCTGCACTGGTTTCTATGGTGATATTACTTCTTCGTATTCCAAAGTTTTTTTCTGTGTCCTGGTATAAAAACGTTGTATATTATTTAATTCATTTTCAATATGATAATTGATTTCCATTTTATATAATGAATAGTTCACTCCCATAATGCACTGAAAATATATGCAGTAACATGCTCAGTAGTGCAAAATTTGAATTTGATGCGAACTGTCCTGAGAGGGATTTGCTTTTGATAACACAGATGGAATAAAGATGAACTGATGATAAATTGGAAAATAATCACTCATTGGATACGCATGAAATTATAATGGCAGTTTATTCCAGTCTAGTCAACTATAAACGTACTTTAGTCAGTCTATAATTTAAGAGTATTTGTGAGATCACTCTTTTACTTGATATGCTGGACAGGTTGTCTTTCTCTGTATATCTATAGCAGGAATTAGTGAGAGATTTGAACAGTTCACTCTAGTTTTATTTTTTTATGTGCTATACATTGTATAGTGTTATGTCTACGTTACAGTACAGTACAGTGACCCCCAGTGAAACTAACTCTATAAAAGCATGGCCACGTCACGCAATTCTATTTTGTTTTTTATGTATTATTAGACCCTCCAAGTTAAAAGGTTTCTTGGTCATTGTACTAGTATTTTCCAAAATATGCATGCTGCTTTTTTATTTTCAGTTTTTAAATTTACATTTAAATTTTTTATAAAAAACAGAAATTCTAAAAAAAAATATGTGACACGCACAGTTTCAACTAACTAGCATGATGACCAGAAACCTGAATTTTATATCTTAGCTGTATCTGCCCAGATTTCTATAATTTGAAGATGCCTGGATTGATTGTTATCACAAAAACTGATGCACAAGTGTTAGATAATAGGCGTGTTAGTCTCTCATATCCAATGCAAATGTGCATGTAGTCATGGCAACAAATTTCATATCGCTGCTCAAATGATGATGTATATTGATAGGCTAGCTGAAATACAAAATTTGTACAAGTATCTATCACCTGTTTGATATTAAGGCTTTCAGTGTCAATGAACTTCTAGAATTAGTGACAGTAAAAACTGGGTACTACTGTTGTATATTTTATTTTCGCTAAGTTTTTATCAAAAGTTGATTACAGCTAAAATAAAGTATTTTACAGTATTTTGTGTGACGTGTAAATAACAAATAGAACAAACATAGTTATGTCGACATTATAGTTTGTAGTGCATATGATATTCATATATAAATATTACCTTTTTATTTGTTTAAAAAATAAAAAATCACTGCACTTTGTCTGTGGATGGAGTTTAAATCTAGCCCTGAGTGATTCTCATACATATGTTCAAAATAAACGCACCATCTTTGTATTATATTATATCATAACAATAATCTTACAATACGTCTAAATCGTACCAGATGGTGCTAAAACGGAAATCACGATGATGAATACACTGGGGGTCATTAGCATCTTGTTTTTTAGATATGACGAAATATCGTGCTTATATAAAATATATAAATTATGAGTGCAAGTGCTTCTCTCATTATATGACCTAGAATCACTATTAGATAGTTAAAAATCATAATAGTTCCCCATTTTACAACTACGTCATATCATGCTTTACATATTGGTATGAATGTAAGCTGTGTTCATTTTTCTTGTTTACATAAATTTTGATATTCTCTGTCATTTTTAAATGACTCGTCAGTAGTAATAGATGCATTTCAAATAAATACTGAATATATTTTGCAATAAATGTTGGTAATCTGCTATACTAAATCAGCTCCTCATACATGTATACAGTACAGTAATTATTCTAAAATTATACATCTACTACTGTGGACTTTCAGAATACAATAATTTTTGGTATCCTCATACAACTATGCAAATTAGGATGCAAAATCTAATAATCATGCAAATTCACACTGTTAATTACTTAATATGACTCAATTTTTGACCTTCCTACCTGACAAAAACATTCTTTGAAGCTAAATAAATGTTGTGATTCCTATAACATGCTTTTCGAAAATAGAGTAGGCAGAGTAGTTCTTGTTTGTTTTTCTATGTTTTTGTGAGGTTATAACTGTTTCATTTTTAGCTCCACTGTCGACAAAGTCGACACAGCGGAGCTGTTCATATTACTGATTGTCCGTCGTCGTCGTCAACTTTACAATTTCATCTTCTTCTTCGAAACCGCAAGTCAGAACGTTTTCAAATTTGATATGCAAGTACCTTGGATGTTTTTTTCTCAGATTTGTTCATTTCATGTCAAAATCTCAAATTCTCTATTTTTGGTGAATATTTTTGTAATTTTTGGTAAAAAGTGATATTTTTGACTTCTTGTTAAAAACCGCAAGCCCACTTGCTTTGATATTACATATATAGGTACTACATGTAGACCTCTCTCAGATTTGTTCATTTTGTGATGATATCTTCAATTCTCTAATTTTGGTAAATATTTTTGTCATTTTTGGTAGAAAGTGATATTTTCGACTTCTTGTTAAAAACCAAAATTCCAATTGCTTTGATATTACATATATAGATACTACACGTGGACCTTTCTCAGATTTGTTCATTTTGTAATGATATCTTCAATTCTCTAATTTTGGTGAATATTTTTGTCATTTTTGGTAAAAAGTGATATTTTTGACTTCTTGTTATAAATCGCAAGTCTGATTGCTTTGATATTACATATATAGGTACTACATGTGAATCTCTCTCAGATTTGTTCATTTCGTGATGATATCTTTAATTCTCTAATTTTGGTGAATATTTTTGTCATTTTTGGTAAAAAGTGATATTTTTGACTTCTGTTAAAAACTGCAAGTCCAATTACTTTGATATTACATATATAGATACTACATGTAGACCTCTCTCAGATTTGTTCATTTTGTGGTGATATCTTTAATTCTCTAATTTTGGTGAATATTTTTGTCATTTTTGGTAAAAAGTGATATTTTTGACTTCTGTTAAAAACCGCAAGTCCAATTGCTTTGATATTACATATATAGATACTACATGTAGTCCTTTCTCAGATTTGTTCATTTTGTGGTGATATCTTCAATTAATATTAATTGTAATTTTTGGTGAAAAGTGATATTTTTTAATTCTTGTTGAAAACAGCAAGACCGATCATTGCTTTGATACTATGCTTATTGTTCATTTTCAAATGATATCTTCTGTTCTTTAATTACAATGTGCATTGCTAACAGCGGAGCTATCTCAGCCGACAGGCTGCTTGTTTTCTTGGATACAAGGACTGTTTTTACAGATGAAATTTTATAAATCATGTTTAAAGTTGTTTACAAATTTGTTTTTGCAAAGTTTTGAATTTTTTTTAAATGTGGCACATTTTAGTTTTCTCAAATATAGCGTATTCAAAATAAAGTATGGATGACTCAAACTCCAAAAATTTCTGCCTGACTCTATCACTTAACTATGGAAGAACAAGGAAATTTCTTCAGTAGTCTTATCAATGAGGTCCATCAATACGAATCAGTATTCCAGCGCTGATTTTAACAGACAGACAGTACTTCTAGCTTAAGAACATAAGCTGGCAGTTACATTTGTTTTTCAACATCAGATCGAGTATAAACCGAATGCACAGAATTTTCGTCAGTGGTTTGTGCGTGCATGTGGCAGATTCAATTATGCAAATTTTGAATGTGTCACTGGCGGTGCCTGGTGGCAAACTCTAAAAGCGATATAGTTTAGTTGAACTTTTCTTTCCAATTCTGTCAATAACAAAATGCTAGAATGTATGTCTGAGTACATCTTACAGTAAAGGTATTGTCTGGAACGCATTGCGTCACAGACAATGTCTAAGTTATCAAATGTGTCCAGCCTGCATTTTAAGATATTAATTTGACATTAAAATACACAAAATATGTTACCTTAGTTTCAATATTGAAATAGAAAATTTAAATTAATCATAAATTTTAGTCTTGATTTCATATTATCAAACTGAGAAGTAATAAAGGACAAATAAAAGTAATAAAGTTACAGACTGTGCTCATCTCATTCTAAGGGTCTTAGATATTCAATGGATATATGGGGAGGGGGTATTTATTATTCTAAATACTCATCACCCAGATCAAGATTTGTCACTGCAAGGCCTCTCTCATGATGCTTTTTATTTCTTTTCACAGCTTTCAATCTCCTTCAATGATTCGGGGACAGTGAAACATGTTTATCCATCCGAAGAGTCGCTTCTTGAAGATGACGAGGCTGATGATGAATTTGACACTGATTACGATTTTGATCAAATCAGACCGGCGCCTAAGGCAACCGATGATACACTAATGGCCAAAGCACCATTGAAATCAAACACGGTTCTGCACAGTTCAGGTAATTACGCGACAGTTGCTTAGTTTTATGGTTAGTTGGCAGAGTTCATCTTGACCAATTACATTCGAATGTGTTCATATTTAAATAATACATCACGTTTTTCTACAGTTGATTTTAAACATGCATGAAAAAACAAAATACCCTCGTTCTGTTATTATGAATGTCAAGCTGGATAATGCATATAATATCTTTAGTTTGACATTTTGACCTTGAAAAGTTTCTATCAAATTCATTTATTTTGCAATTATTACTGGAGTAGTCTTTGGGGAAATCATCATCACATTTTTGCCCAACAGAGCATAACAGTTTGTAATAGAATCAATAAATGTGAAAACAACTTTTTCGGATCATGATAAATATCAGCAATGAATTGGAAATTCAAAAATAAGAAGATAGTGCTACTTTTGACCATGTTTCAAATGACTGTATTATTATTCCAGTGATTACAATTGAACATATTCAATTATTATCCATGGGCATGTATGGTGGGGTGGCCGATATAGTAGTTACCAGCGTACATCCATACGAAGTCGTATCAGAAGCAATAGTTGCAGATATGACACAGTTATATTGCACACTAGATCTGATCAACATAATCAATGACATATATATGGTTATGTGATCCCATTAAAATTCATAAATTAACCTATCTGGACACTATTGCAGACAGAACCATTCAGCCAGAACTTTATTGAAGACATTGCACACTAGACCATATATGGTCATGTGACCTCATTAAAAATGCATAACTATGGTGAACATTATTGCAAAGATATTCATTCTACATGTATGCTTGTAAAATTACGCCCCAGGATCTGCCATCTCTGATGGCTTTCTTGTATTTCTTTTTCAAACAAGGGGACTGTAACATTTAGTCATTTATTAAATTTGTTCACATCTGAATCTATTCCAGATTTGTTAACGGATTGTTTCATCTCTTTTCAGGAGGCCTACAAAACTACACCCCAACTTATTTACAAGACGCTTACCAAAGCAGTTTGGAAAAACGAACGAATATACAAGACGCAGAGCCAGAAAAACCAAAAGAAGAAGTTGATTTTAATGATGTTGAAGTCAAGCCCCTTGATGACAACGATGCAGATTATTTCTCTACATCATCATCATCTTCTGCATTGCTCTTCTAACACCCCTATTATAAAATGACGTGGTACAATTATCTACATAATTGTCAACCTCTTTAGTACAAGTATACTTTTAAAATTGCAAGACCAAAAACTACCCAATCAGGGAACCCTTTACTTGTTTTCATTGCCCCTGATTGGACACTCAAACCTAATACCTAACTGTTTAGCCAATCAGGGAACCCCTTACATGTTTTTATTGCCCCTGATTGGACACTCAAACCTAATACCTGTTTAGCCAATCAGGGAACCCCCCTACTTGTTTTCATTGCCCCTGATTGGACACTCAAACCTAATACCTAACTGTTTAGCCAATCAGGGAACCCCCCCTACTTGTTTTTATTGCTTCTGATTGGACACTCAAACCTAATACCTAACTGTTTAGCCAATCAGAGAACCCCTTACTTGTTTTTATTGCCCCTGATTGGACACTCAAACCTAATACCTAACTGTTTAGCCAATCAGAGAACCCCTTACTTGTTTTCATTGCCCCTGATTGGACACTCGAACCTAATACCTAACTGTTTAGTCAATCAGGGAACCCCTCACTTGTTTTTATTGTCCCTGATTGGACACTCAAACCTAATACCTAACTGTTTAGCCAATCAGGGAACCCCCCTACTTGTTTTCATTGCCCCTGATTGGACACTCAAACCTAATACCTAACTGTTTAGCCAATCAGGGAACCACTTACTTGTTTTCATTGGTGGGCTGATTCGATTCTCTAACCTAATACCTAACTGTTTAGCCAATCAGGGAACCCCTTACTTGTTTTCATTGGTGGGCTGATTCGATTCTCTAACCTAAATTAACAGTTTTCTTGCTATGAAATGTTCTTGATGGTGTTAATACTAGTGGTAACATTTATCTGTCACAAAAGTTACATGTGTGTTCAACTTGCAGTTGCTCCTAAAAGTCACTTTGTTGCTATAGCCGTATTGGTGATTTGGGATTATTATATAAATTTTTGATGGTTTGAATATGCATGTATTATGTAATAAGTGGTCAAATCCTCAGTTATTCCCACACATTCATAGAATCAAATATGTCACATAGTCACAAGCCTCCAATAAAGTTTGATAATATGGTAGTATTTGCACAAGTGTATGCAACAAATATGTACTGTCATAATTTAAGGCATTGTAAAAAAGGTCAACAAAAAAATTGTACAAGCCTCTAATCTCAATGCAGTTACAAAAAAGATGAAAGACAAAAATGTTTCTCTTTTAGTGCCACCTAAAACATTGTCGTAGTGATAATTATGTTTCAAAGATTTCAGGTTGGAAAAATAGAGTTTGTAAAAAAACAATTCAAACAAGGTATAAGTTCAGTTTGTTTGCTTTGTGCTGTGCAGTCTAAAATATTTAATTAGAAAGATGTGAAAGTTGAGTGTGCTTCTTACTGATGGTTCAAAATATTTAATGGGAAAGTTAGGCATGCTTTTACGGGTCATCTAGAATATTTAATGGAAAACTTGGGTGTGCTTTTTCAGATGTCTTAAAGTATTCAATGAAAAGTTAGGCATGTTTTTACAGATGATATAAAATATTTACTAGGAAGTTAGGTGTGCTTTTGCATGTATCTAAAATATTTAATGGGAAAGTTGAGCATGCTTTTATAGGTGGTCTAGAATCTTTAATGGGGAACTTGGGTGTGCTTTTTCAGATGTCGAAAATATTCAATGGAAATTTAAGCATGCTTTTACAGATGATTTAGAATATTTACTTGGAATTTAGGTGGGCTTTTACAATTGGGCTGAAGCAGAGATTGTGAGATGCGCATTTTCTGGTGTTTCAGAAACTTATGAAAGCTAGGTGTGCTCAAAATTATCACCTTGAACATTTCTAGGGAAAGTTAGGTGGGCTTTCACATAGGTATTTTTACAATTCAACATCAGCAGCAATGTTTCTATTAATTTCAAATTATTTACGAATAATGCAAGGACAGTTCGATATTCTGGTCTGTCTATTGCAGCAAACTACTATATAAATATTCTCACTATGCCCAGGGAGTGACATTTCAGACCCCCTAACCTAATAGCTTTCTTAAAAATTATGACTATTTACTACTGCATTTCATTATGCCTAGTTGCTGAAAGATCAAACAGGTCTAATATCTTTCTTTAGTACATGTAGTGACAAAACTGAAAAATAATTATTAGTGCGCTCCACATTATTTTTTTTTTTAAAAATGGTGATCAAATTGTCATCAAATCATGTTTTTTTGGTCTAACAAAATATTTATTGAGAATTGCATAAAATTGCACAAAATGTTGCATCAATATTTTTGTAAGCAAAACGATTGCATTCAATAGGTTAAAGGTCAATTGATGTCTAATCACTCGATTTGAATAGCGTGACCAGTGTTATCACTTGAATGGTCATTGTAATCAGACAAAACAAGAATGGAAAAGAGTTTATTATCAAGTGTTATTTAGTGTATTCAGATGGTCAAAAAATTAAAAAAAATGTGAGACAGTCAATGCTATTGGTCAAAAGTAGTCACATGATTGCTTTATAGATATTAATATTGGCCCCTTTCAACATGCATCATTTTGTGTGTTGCTATTTTTTTTTTCAATATAATATAACAGTTATTATCTTTGGCTTGCCAATACTAAATAGTGTTTCATTCTCCAGTACACATTCACTTTTCAGACATTTTTTTTAATTTTTGTAAACTTTTACATTTTAGTTATTTCACTATTGGGCAAAAATGTCGGACCAAAGAATTAATGACAAGTACAGAAATGTTGTATATTGTGACTTTTTAGCAAAAAAACAACTAATAAAATAGTGACAACTAGAAAGCCAATGAAATAGTCTTTTTTAATGTCAAAAAAAATGCATCAAGTCCTATATTTTCTTGTTTAATTGTACCCTTGCATTTTTTTTTATTTAAGAAAGGTTAATTTATCTCTGTATATCATTTTTGCTTTATGTCATGTTACAAATTTTGAATGATATATTTAATGTTGTACATATTCATATATTGATTAATATGTGAAACCACATTATTGTAAAGTGTACGACTACACAAGCAGTTCTCTGTATATATATCGTAATGTACATTTCTCATATTTTCAATTACACCTTCAATAAAATAGATTCCTGTTAGTAGTGTGACATCATGCCTCAAAATAAAATGGCAAATTGGTCACCCACAGCAAACCAGTACATACTGAGGCAGTATTTAGAATATTGTCCCAATGCATGTATTTATCAGTATACTTGTATTTTCTCTATTGGTAATTTATACACTCAATATATTCATGTATTTAACATGAATTAAGTTAGAAGTCTCAGACGTTTAAATCTAACGTATGCACTTGTTCAGCATGCTTTTTTGGAACTGCCGTGCATCCAACCACGTTGAGGGACAGTGATCCAACTTTAGCCTCGGTAAACTTCATGTCACCGAATTTTGTTTGGAATCACGCTTAAAATAACAAGTTGATTTATATTTTTTTTTAATGCACGCACTTCTATTAGGTACTATTTTTGAAGTGTGCCACACAAACTACACTTTATGATAGATTTGTAAAATGATTTTATACAGCTTGATTCAGTATCTAGCTAATGTACTTAAAGTACACACAACAGAACTTAATATCAGAAATATATTGGAAGTTGTTTATTATGCTAATTAGTCTGTGGTGCGAATATTTGTACATATTTGATAATATAAAAATATAGATGCATTATAAGCGTCTGTTATTGAAGAGTATGAACATACTCCGGTCTTCCCATTTCTGAGTAGTCAATTTCAGGTCCACAATTTAACTGAAATTGTATGTATTTTAATATTTAGTTGTGCACGGAGTGAGTTTTAGCTTTCAAGTTTATTTTGTGCTATCTTTTCCGATTAGTTTGGCCAGTTTTGTTTGTATTGTTTCAGACACATGTCTATGCGAGTCCACATTGAACCTGCATATAGAAATGGTATTAGGGTTTACTTGAATTCAATATTTATGTATCATTGTTGTTTATTTTTCAATTTATTCAAGATACATTTCACATGTATTTTTAAATTTCACTTTTCATTTGTATTCTACAATTAACCGGTACTGGGATCAATTGCTCTTAATTTGGTTTGACAATAAAATTAAAAAAAATGAGATGCAAGTTTATTTAATGATTTTGAACATTTTTATCGGTGATGGTAAAAACCAGTTTCTGAATATTTACATTTATTTAATGGTTATTGATTCTTTACCTTGTATTGATATTTTCATTTCACTTTAATATTTTATTTTTGTCATTTTCTGGTTGTAAAATTAATTGATGTGATTGGTCTTGTCTCATTCTACATTCTGAGAATATATCCAGCCTTGTCTTGAAATTAATATTGCTTCTCGTATCAGTGTATTTTTTTTAGAGCTGATTTCTAGATCGTTGGTTTCAGAGCTAGATGATGTGTTATATTCCCATTTATGTTTTGACAAGACCAAATGCTCATTTTGTTGTGATTTTGTGTCAGATATGTAAAAGTATAAACCAGCACCTAATCTGTGTAGTTTTCTGAGTCAACACTGACATGATTGAACACGGTTGATTGCTCAGTAACTTGTGGTAATATATACTAAACAATATACTCGTAAAAAGTAATACATGATCTACGCTGACACCTGTATGTGTGTCAAGTGGTAACAAATTAGTATCTTGTATAATTATATTTATGACAAAAAATCTCGAGATCAAATTTCATGAAAAACTTAAGTAAATGTCAATTTTATCTTATTCACATGGGAATACTGATAACAGCATTACTGATAACAGAATCGGAAACAGCCCCTCCCCCTTGACTGATCTCACTTCTCATCGCTATTGAAACTGTTTTGTCTGATTTGGTCACTTAGACATGCTTGATAATATCATTTTTATTCACTTGCATACACGCATTGAATGGGCTATAATTTCAGGTATCTACCAGCCAGCTGTCCATGTACACATGCAGAGTTACTGCTCACCAATGTGTGTGCACTGTTACCATTACAAGCATGTTTAATGTGTGTGTCACCATACAACAGTAACCTTTCAAAAAAAACTAAATTTACAATGTAAATGGAACTCTTTCAGTAACTTGAAATATCGGATATCGGTGGATCGTATACAAAATGTGTCTAGATCCAAAGTGACAT